TTTAGTTAGGAAAAAAAGGTCTCTCCCTCTTAACATTCTTTTTTCTCTTGAGCAAAGATAAAGTTGTTTTAAAAACTACATTTTAAGTTACAAATTTGCAGCTAAAGATTCATTCACCTGTGTAATTTTATGAAGACTTTTAGACTGCTCAGTCTATCCCTTAGTAGAAAAAGGAGAGTAGGCTCATTAAATGTTAAAAGAACAAAAGTGTCTTTTTTTTTTTTTTTTGTCATAATAACAGAACATAATAACAATAATAACATTTTGCTATGATAGGTCATGATAGCAGAAGCAGTAGATTAGATCTTTAATAAGGAAAAACGTTCTAAAAACTGTGTGCCTAGGGATAGGATTTACTCAAGTCCAATCAACATTTACCTGTACATTAATTTTGTTGATTTCAAAAAACTTATTCCAGCAATTTAAAATCCTCCTCTTCCAACAATATAATCTTCCTCACTAGGTTTCCCTCTTTCCCTCTCCTCTGTGGACTAAAACAATTTATTTCCTGCTCTCCCAGCTCTTCATCAGTCCCTCTCTTTATCAGTCTGCAATCATTCTGCGAACTCAGTTCTCTTTCTGTCTGGCTCCCTCTGTGTGTTCAGAGCACACTTGTCCAATCTAACCATTCTCAGGCATATCCACAGGAGGAATCATCCTCCTTTATTCCATGCAAAATGGGGGCTGAACAGCCAAGATAAGGCAAGCTGGATACCTTTCACACACACATTTTTCCTGACCCAACTTCACTCCTTCTCTCCCAACTTATCTACTTACTCCTGCCTCAGGCAGTACAGAAGCATGGGGAGCAGGTGGCTGCAATCTGTCCTTACCTCTGTGCCACTCTTTTTTCCTCACACAGGGCAGCCTCTGATCACCAAGGACCCTCCTCCACTGCTAAAACCTATCCAATGACAAATATATACCTCAACAAAGTACTGTCCACAAATCTATCAGGAAATATCTAAAATCAGACACCAAAAATCATAGCTACTGTGTAGGTGAAAGATATCTCTGCCTGGGCTCCAAGCCAGCAGGAATGCAGAAATTTCTGGTCCATACTAACACAATGCAAAATCCAAGTTTCTCTGCTGAGAAACTGATGCAATTGCATGACTTTATTCAGCTTTGCATCTCAGGTACAGTGAGCATTCATCTGACTAGAATGCAAATGTAATGCAGAATGCAGGAGTATCCTTAGGTTCTACGAACTACATAGCATGGCTGATGTTTTTTGTGAGTGATCCAAGCAGATTTAGTCTCTCTGGTCATGCTCTGTCATAAGTAAAAAATCTTTAGATTATCTTCAGACGTTTATCCTCTACTGGTCTGAATTCAAATTTATAACTGTACACTCACAGCTGGTCTTTGTTAAGTATTTTTAAAATATATTTTTGGAAATGTACTACTGATGTATAACATAACTTTTCAAAGACATTGCACTTTTGCTAAAATTCACTCTTATAAATCTGAGCAATATGAGCTGTTAGACATATGAGCACTTGTATCGCCTTGATACAGTAGTCACGTGGTATGAACTAGTCTTAAACCATGGACATTGTTAACATCCAGTTAGCAAGCTGAAAACCTGGAGATGAAAGAGCAAGTAAAAAACATCTTTGAAATCTGAAGGAGCTGGCTGAGGTGGTTGCCAAGCCGCTCTCCATCATATTTGAAAAGTCGTGGCTGTAAGGTCCTGGATGGCTTGAGGAAGGGTCACGTCACTCCCATTTACAAGAAAGGGAGCAAGGAGGACCCCAGGAACTACAGGCCGGTGAGTCTCACCTCTGTGCCTGGGAAGATCATGGAACAGATCATCCTGGATGACATGCTTGATCACATGAGGAAAGGGCGTGTGATCCGTGACAGCCAGCACAGCTTCACCAGGGGAAGGTCATGCTTGACCAATCTGGTGGCCTTTTATGACGGAGTGACGGCATCGGTGGACAAGGGAAAGGCGACCGATGTCATTTACCTGGACTTGAACAAGGCCTTGACATGGTCCCCCACCACATCCTTCTCTCCAAAATGGAGGGATGTGGATTTGATGGGTGGACCACTCGATGGATAAGAAACTGGCTGAAAGGCCGCAGACAGAGGGTGGTCATCAATGGCTCTGTGTCCAGGTGGAGGCTGGTAACGAGCGGCGTCCCCCAGGGGTCTGTCTTGGGACCGGTGCTCTTTAACATCTTTATCAATGACATCCATGATGGAATCGATTGCATCCTCAGCAAGTTTGCTGACACCAAGCTGAGTGGTGTGGTCGACATGGTGGAAGGAAGGGATGCCATTCAGA